CAGCTAGGGATAAAAGGGCCCTAATATACAAAAGGAAACCTATCAGAGTGCTTACAGACCTATCTACTGAAACTTGGCAGGCCAGAATGGAATGGCAGGAAATCTTCAATGTGATGCACAGAAAAAAATATGCAGCCAAGAATCCTCTATCCATCAAGCCTGTCATTCAGAATAGAAGGAGAGATAAAGGTCTTCCCAAATAAACAAAAATTGAAAGAATTCATCACCACTAAAACAGCCCTAAAGAAATCCTAAGGGGAACTCTATGAGGGAAATGTTGCAAGGAACACAAGGTACCAGAGACCCTGCTACAAGTAGGAATCCTACAGAGAACACAATGACTCTAAATCCATATTTTTAAATAATAACACTGAATGTAAATGGACTAAATGCTCTAATCAAAAGACAGTGTAGGAGAATGGATTAAAAAAAAAAACAAAATCCATCTATTTGCTGTCTACAAGAGACTCATTTTAGACCTAAGGACACCTTCAGATTGAAAGTAAGGGGATGGAGAAATATCTATCATGCTACTGGAAGTCAAAAGAAAGCTTGAGTAGCCATATTCATATTAGACAAACTGGACTTTAAAGTAAAGGCAGTAACAAGGAATGAAGAAGGGCATTATATAATAATTACAGGGTCTACTCATCAGGAAGGATAACAATTATAAATGTCTACCCACTGAATTTGGAAGCACACAAATACAGAAAACAATCACAAACAGAAACAATCTTATGGCTTAGAATGTGCTAATTACAGGGGGCTTTAATACTCCACTTACAGCAATGGATAGATCAACTAGACAGAAAATCACTAAAGAAACAATGGACTTAAATGACACATTGGACCAGATAGATCTGACAGACATATTTAGAACTCTACATCCTGAGGCTATGGAATTCACTTTCTTCTCAAGCGCACATGGCACATTCTTCAAGATAGATCACATGCTGGGTCATAAAGCAGCCCTTAATAAATATAAAAGAACTGAGATAAATGCACACTTTCAGATCTCAATGCTATGAAACTTGAAATCAACCATAGGAAAACGTGTGGAAAACCTCCAAAAACATGGAGGTTAAAGGACACCCTACTAAAAGATGAATGGGCCAACCAGGCAATTAGAGGGAAATTTAAAAGTATATGGAAACAAATGAAAATGAAAATACAACAAACCAAACTGTTTGGGATGCAGCAAAGGAAGTCCTAAGAGGAAAGTACATTGCACTCCAGGCCTATTTCAAGAAACTAGAAAAAGCACAAGTACAAAATCTAACAGCACACCAAAAGGAACTAGAAGGAGACAACATGAGCACCTCAAACTCAGCAGAAGAAGAGAAACAGATCCAAAAAAAAAATAAAATAAAACAAAAAACAACAGCTAAACAGATCAATGACACCAAGAGATGGTTTTTTGAAAAAAATAAACAAAATTGATAAACCTCTAGCCAGGTTTCTCAAAAAGAAAAGAGCACCCAAATGGACAAAATCATGAATGAAAATGGATTTATTACAACCAATCCCTCAGAAATAGAAGCAATTATCAGGGAATAATATGAAAAATTATATGCCAACAAACTGGACAACCTAGAAGAAATGGACAAATTCCTAAACATACACCCTACTAAAATTCACACGGGAAGAGATAGAAAATCTGAACAGACCCATAAGTAGTGAAGAAATGGAATCAGTTATCAAAAATCTCCCAATAACAGCCCTGGGCCAGATGGCTTCCCTGGGGAATTCTACCAGACATTTAAAACAGAATTAATACCCATTCTTCTCAAACTATTCCAAAAAATAGAAATCGAAGAAAAACTTCCACACTCATTTTATGAAGCCAGCATCACTTTGATTCCCAAGCCAGACAGAGACCCAGCAAAAAAAGAGAACTACAGGCCAATATCCTTGATGAATACAGATGCAAAAATCCTCAACAAGATACTTGCAAATCGAATCCAACAGCACATAAAAAGAATTATCCACCAAGATCAAGTGGGATTCATTTCTGGGTTGCAGGGCTGGTTCAATATACGCAAATCAATCAGTGTGATACATCACATCAACAAAAGAAAAGATAAAAACCATATGATCCTGTCAATAGATGCAGAAAAAGCATTCGACAAAATATAGCATCCCTTCTTAATAAAGACCCTCGAGAAAGTCAGGATAGAGGGAACTTACTTAAACATCATAAAAGCCATCTATGAGAAGCCCACAGCTAATATCATCCTCAACGGGGAAAAACTGAGAGCTTTCCCCGAAATCAGGAACACGGCAGGGATGTCCACTCTCACCACTGTTGTTTAACATAGTGCTGGAAGTCCTAGCATCAGCAGACAACAAAAGGAAATAAAAGGCATCAGAATTGGCAAAGATGAAGTCAAACTTTCACTTTTCACAGATGATATGATACTCTACATGGAAAACCTGACAGATTCCACCAGAAGCCTACTAGAACTGATCCATGAATTCAGCAAAGTCGCAGGGTAGAAAACCAATGTACAGAAATCAGTTGCATTTTTATACACCAATAATGAAGCAAAAGAAAGAGAAATCAAGAAATTGATCCCATTCACAATTGCACAAAAAACCATAAAATACCTAGAAATAAACCTAACCAAAGATAGAAAAGATCTGTATGATGAAAACTATTGAAAACTTATGAAGAAAATTGAAGAAGATACAAAGAAATGCAAAAATATTCCATGCTCATGGATCAGAAAAATAAGTATTGTTAAAATGTCATTACTACCCAAAGCACTCTACACATTCAATGCAATCCCAATCAAAATTGCACCAGCATTCTTCTCAAAGCTAGGACAAACTATCCTAAAATTTGTATGGAACTACAAAAGACCCCAAATAGCCAAAGTAATATTGAAGAAGAAAACCAAAATGGGTGGCATCACCATTCCAGACTTTAGCCTCTACTATAAAGTTATCATCATCAAGACAGTATCTTATTGGCACAAAAACAGACACATGGACCAATGGAACAGAATCAAGAACTCAGAATTTGGACCCACAAATATATGGCCAACTAATCTTTGACAAAGCAGAAAAGAGTATCCAATGGAAAAAAGACAGCCTCTTTAACAGATGGTGCTGGGAGAACTGGACAGCAACATGCAGAAGAATGAAACTAGATCATTCTTTCACACCATACACAAAAATAAACTCAACACGGATAAAGGACCTGAACGTGAGACAGGAAACCATCAAAACCCTAGAGGAGAAAGCAGGAAACAACCTCCTTGACCTCCACCGCAGCAATTTCTTACTTGACACATCCGCAAAGGCAAGGGAATCAAGAGCAAAAATGAACTACTGGGACTTCATCAAGATTAAAATCTTCTGCACGGCAAAGCAAGCAATCAAGAAAACTAATAGGCAATCAATAGAATGGGAAAGATAGTTGCAAATGACATATCGGATAAAGGACTAGTATCCAAAATCTATAAGGAACTCACCAAACTCCACACCTGAAAACAAACAATCCAATGAAGAAATGGGCAGAAGATATGAACAGACACTTCCCCAAAGAGGACATCCAGATGGCCAACAGACACATGAAACGATGCTCAGCGTCTCTCATCATCAGGGAAATACAAATCAAAACCACATTGAGATACCACTTCATGCCAGTCAGAGTGGCTACAATGAACAAATCAGGAGACTCTAGATGCTGGTGAGGATGTGAAGAAATGGGCACCCTCCTACACTGTTGGTGGGAATGCAAACTGGTGCAGCCCCTCTGGAAAACAGGGTGGAGGTTCCTCAAAAAATTAACAATAGAACTCCTCCCTGACCCAGCAATAGCAATGCTAGGAATTTACCCAAGGGATACAGAAATGCTGATGCATAGGGGCACATGCACCCCAATGTCATAGCAGCACTTTCAACAATAGCCAAATCATGGAAAGAGCCTAAGTGTCCATCAATGGACATTCTATACAATGGAATACTACATGGCAATGAGAAAGAATGAAACCTGGCCATTTGTAGCAACGTAGATGGTACTCAAGGGTGTTAGGCTGAACGAATAAGTCAGACAGAAAAAGACAGATGCCATATGTTTTCACTCATAAGTGGAATAGGAGAAACTTAACAGAGGTCCATGGGGGAGAAGAAGGGGAAAAAACAGTTGGGGAGAGGAAGGGAGGCAAACCATTAGAGACTCTTGAATACTGAGAACAAACTGAGAGCTGATGGGGGTGAAGGAAAAGAGGAGGGGGGTGATGGGCATGGAGGAGGACACTTGTTGGGATGAGCACTGGGTGTTATATGGAAACCAACATGATAATAAAATATGAAAGAAAATAAAAATAAAAAACTCAAAAAAATATGTAAATGGCATGACTCCACAGTATTCTCCAAGCACTATGTCGTCCTAAAATTTAAGGGTAGATTTTGTGGGCTAAGAAGGGCCTCCAAATGTCTGCAGGACCCAATAAATGCCATTGCAACAGAGCAAATAAATCCCAGCTTCTCACATATTCAACAGCAAGCTATTTACAGAAGTATTTTCTATGGATATTTTCAGGTTGCATCACTTAACAGTATATGGACTATTGCTGATGCACATACAGAGGAAGAAAAATAATTCTTTTCAAATAGTAGATATAAATGAAGAACTTTCAGGGCCCAAACGTTCAGGTTATAAGGCTCAGTCAACTGTATGAGGCATACTAATAAAATTGACATCACAGGCTTGTATAAGTAAACATGAATTGATATGTACAACAAAAACTAAGCAAGTGTCACCAAGTGGAAAATTCCAAAATATTTTATTAGACAATAGAAAATGTTTAATTTGGAGAGAAAAATAAAATTATAATTTGACTCTGACAAAACCTTTCTTCTACTTTCATTTTATTTCTCAAAGTTAAAATCAACCATGTTTTCAAAACTAAAGTTCTAACTGAGGTTCTAGAAAATAGCTACACAGTCAACCTGACAAGACTTTAATTTACATAACAGGGATTACCACTTACCACTCCTCCAAAATACTTTCCTATGTAGAAGTCATCAAGGCTGTGCAGTTCAAGGTAGGTGGCTCCTAGTTCTTTAGCAAGTTGGATCCCTTCGGTTGTACTGACACAACTCCCTCTGTCTGAGGTACACAGCGGGCATGTACAAGGTAGTTCTTCTGAGAAAATAAATACAAGTAATGAAGAGCTTTGAAATTAAACAGGAAAAAATATACATAGGCAATCTGAACGTTAAACAAGAAAGTATGAGCTCATACAAGAACCACAGTTCAGGGACAGTTTAGTACATCCACTATCCGCTAGATTCTGAATAAGAAGCATCAATGTTAATAGAAAGGTCCCCAAAGTAAACAAGCTCTAAGTGCAAGAAGAAACTATATTTTGGAAGAGAAGTTAAAAATAAGTGAATACGTATTACCAAGGCTATTATAGTAATTAAACCAATCAGCTAGTAATGGAGGCCATGTTTCTTTTTATACAATCCTGACATCTTGAGTATCACTACAAATTTACCAACTTGATTGCCCACAGAAACTATGAAAAACAGTGGGTTGGGTCTTTTTGTCTTTTCTTTTCTTTTGTTCTTTCTTTCTTTCTTTTCTGATAAACTTGAAATATATTCACCAAATTGATTAGATCTGAATTTTCAAGGCTAAAAACTTGTTACTCTCTTTGGAGATTTTATATAAAGTACATTCTTATTAACTCAAACATTTCAATTAAACTCTGAAGTATTCAACTACAAAGACCAAATTCAATCAGTTATCTTTATCTTCAAGATTTAAAAATCAGGGGTGCCTGGGTGGCTCAGTTGGTTAAGCATCTGACTTCGGCTGAGGTCATGATCTAGCAGTTCGTGGGTTCAAGCCCCACGACGGGCTCTGTGCTGACAGATAGCTCAGAGCCTGGAGCCTGTTTCAGGTTCTGTATCTCCCTGTCTCTCTGACCCTCCCCTGCTCATGCTGTCTTTCTCAGAAATAAATTTTAAAAATTTGTAATAAAACAATTTGTAATAAAAAATATTTTAAAAATCACAAACTAAAAGAACAAAACATTTTTATTAAAAATGTGAACTATCCCAAGAGTCATGGTTGTACCACATACAGATCTATGGCTGGGAAGGTGGTAGATCAACCTATCTATAAGAATAATCCTTAATAAAGTTAAAAATGTATGTTCAACTGTGGATGCATCAACTAGCTTTGTTTTGATTCATGACACATCAGATATGTCATTGTATAAAAGGCAGCCAGGTCAAAGGGGGATAAATCTACTTCTAGAAATGCATTTTGTTATAGATTAGCTTCCCTAGGGAATCAGACTCTGCAATGGAGACTGGTGTGTAGGAGGTTTATTGGGGAGAGGGGTCTTGCTCTTGGGATCAAATGGGTTCAGGGGTGAGGGAAGTGGGACTCGGCAGAGAAAAAAACTTGACCTGCAATACGGCAACAACAAAGATCTCAGCAGATCCTACTGGGAGGTCTGGAGCTCAGATGGGCCTTTAAAATGGTTCCTCATTTGGGGGAAAGACAGCTGGCCTTTGTGTCCCCATATCAATTAAGATAAAGAGTAATTAGATGTGGGCTGCCATGGACAGGCCGAACCTTGGGTAAGCAGCTTCTATCAGCACAAGGTAATTCTCAGGCCCTAGAAAGGGACTCAGCTGTGGGAAATCAGCAGCCAACAGTTTGGTAACTGAGGGAGGAAGTAAGGTGGCCTTCTAAGGATACTTGGGCAACTTTCCAAAGCATACATAGCAAAATCCTTACCCATGACCTGCATATAGATGGAGCACATATATATACATATGGAGGGTACTTTAAGGATATTTAGTGTATGTGCCTGCTATGTACATGACTATTAATAATTTTAGGTTGACTGAAAGCATTTTAGAGCTCAGAGACCAGGAATTTACATCCTCCTTTAATAGAGGAAAAAAAGTGAGGCTCAGGGAAGATAAGTGACCTGTCCCAGTCTCCTGGTGTGTCAGAAATGGAAAAACAATGATAAAACTGTTAGTTACTCTACCTGATAAGATAAAAATTTAGTTTGAGTAAAGAATTACTGAGTAAAGATATAGTGATTTAAAAGTTACGTGTGGGTTCTCAAAATTAAGCCATGAATTCTGAGTTCTTGCTTTTATGTTTTCGAAGATCATTTTGGTTTTGGAGCACATAAAGTTTTGATACAGAATTTAGCCTAACTTGAAAAATAACACAGTGGTATTTCACATTCTTTACAAAGATTGACAAACAGTGCCTTTGATTTTCTGAAGACAGAGGCCTTCTTATGTCTACAAAGCTCTCCTTATGTTGATGGAATGGGGTGAGTGGGCAGACCATCTTATTAAACTGTATTTCTGAACAAAAATAAAACAAAGTGTTTCAAGTGGAAAATTAAGTGAACATAATGTAAAAAATGTTTAACAAGTAATCTTGATTTCAAGGAAAATCCAACTAATTTCAGTTAACCCAACTGAGTAGGTTTTCCGTTGTGTGTAGCCATGACCCTTACTGACACATATGCCTAGAAAACTCCTCTTCGCATCTCCCTGTGTCACAGAACACCTCTTTTTGTTCATATGCACCCAAAAGGAAAAAATGTCTCATCATTATGTGTTGGCCATAGTGGGAAAGCCAACAAAACGTTTATAGAATAAGTAAACCTACATTAAGCATTTCATCAGGAACAATTAGAGGACCCAAAATAATTTTAAATTGTGGTGCCTTCTTCACTCCTGTGAGCCTACCTCAGGGTCACAGGAACTCCGTGAGTCAGTGTTAGACTTCTCATTAACACTGTAGTCTTTGTTCATTTTCTTATGTGATAGTCTTTCAAGGTGTTATCACAAATGTCTATTTTTGAAAGCAAACACAAAGTAACTCTAGCATTCAAATGAACTGCATCTCTTTCAAAGCAGTGGCTTTCAGAACCTGAAAGGTGATTCTTATACAATGGTGCCAGTGCTTAAAAGTTTTAGAAATCCTTTTAAGAATTCTAGCTTAGCAGGGTGCCTGGGTGGCTCAGTCAGTTAAGAGTGCAACTTTGGCTCAGGTCATGATCTCACGGTTTGTGGGTTCGAGCCCCACGTCGGGCTCTGTGCTGACAGCTAGCTCAGAGCCTAGAGCCTGCTTTGGATGCTTTGTCTCCCTCTCTCTCTGACCCTCCCCTGCTCATGCTGCCTCTCTCTCTCTGTCTCAGAAATAAATAAAACATTAAAAAAAATAATAAAAAAAAAGAATTCTAGCTTAGCGATGTACTTGGCTCTATCAGAATTTCAAAAAGAAAAGAAGATAGGATGCCCATTTAGGGGAGCTCAAGGCTATGAATACCCCAGGCATGTTCAGAAAAAAAAATTCTGTTTTAGAGATAGATTCAATATTTAGTAAAACGCCAAAAATTTGTTCAAAGCCAAATGTGATGAAGACATACACAGTCAAGCTTGTCAAAACACAAAGGAAACAATGAGAATGATTGTTTTTGCTGAACTATTTCTAAAAAGAGCTCGAGAGAGGAATTACCAGAACACCCACCACAGCCACATGTATTGCAAGGGACTAGCGGAGGGAAGCAGTACTAGTCCTTGATCTGAATATTAGATTTAGCTTGGTAGTTACTTTGCAATCACATCTATATGTGAAATTAATTTCATCTTGTTTAAGACCACTCATTCACTACATGAACTAATGTTTACTGAGCACCTATCATATATCAAATAAGAAATCTAAAGATACACGGGGCACCTGGGTGGCTCAGTCTGTTAAGCGTCCAACTTTGGCTCAGGTCATGATCTCGCGGTCTGTGGGTTCAAGACCCATGTCGGGCTCTGTGCTGACAGCTAGCTCAGAGCCTGGGGCCTGTTTCAGATTCTGTGTCTCCCTCTCTCTCTGCCCCTCCCCAACTTCTGCTCTGTCTCTGTCTCAAAAATAAATAGACATTAAAAAAAAAAAAGAAATATAGAGATACACAGACAAATGCTCATGGTCAACTGAGCCAAAAGAGATAGGAGTGCATAGAATTATAATAAATAGTAAAATAAAGGTGTACAAAATCACCATGGGAACAACAGAGAGGAAATTAACTCTGCCTGAGGGATTATGGAAGGCTTCACAGAAGAGGCAGTGATTTACTACACAAGGATGAAGTTGCCATGCAGATGACAGGAGTTGTGCAGAAGGGCACTCGAGTCAGGGGAGGGGAGCATTTGCACAGGTCTGGATGTGAGGAAAAAACACAACACGTTAGCTTCCAGTTTCAAAATAGCAAGCTAACCTCACATTGCAATCCTGAGAATTCTCCCTGAGAAATCACAGAAATGATTAAATAAAGAGGGGAGGGAAAAGAGAGGAGGAAGTAAGAAAGGAGGGAAGAATAAAGGGAGGGGCTGGGGAAGGAGGAAGGGAGACATGGATATACAGTGACACTCCAAAATTAAGAGGAGAGAATCTCATCAGCCCAGAAACTATGAGTGCCTAAAAGCTGAAGGCAGATGGCATAGGACCAAAGAGGGAAAGTGAGGCTCAGGAGACAGGTGGGAAGTCATGCACTGGGCAACATCGAGAGTACTCACTGCTCAGTGATGGGGGCACAACAAGGAGGCCCAAGCACAACCGAGTGGAGATTAGTTGGAGACCACCAGGTAGGCCTGCAGATCTCCTATGAACTCTCTCTCCTACCCTGACCCCAGAGAGCATCTGGGCAGAGGAGGAGAAAGGCATTAATCCAACAGAGGATCTAAACTGAAAAACTAGGCAAATTAAAAATATCCAGGGGTGCTTGGGTAGTTTAGGTGGTTGAGCATCTGACTCTTGATTTTGGCTCCGGTCATGATCCCAGGGTCATGGGATCGAGCCCCAAGTTGGACTCCATGCTGAATGTTGACACTGCTTGGGATTCTCTCTCGGTCTCCTCTCCCCCCCATCCCGCCTGCTCACATGGGTGCACACACATGCATGCCCTCTCTCAAAGTAAATAAACTTAAAAAAAAGAACTATCCAAAATTTAAGAAACATCCATACCATGAAATAAAATCTCATCAGATGAAAGGACTTAGAATGCTCCCCTCAAAACAAGACTTAATAGATAATCAAAACAGAATCTTAAAATAAGTATAATTAATTGAGAGAGGTTTTCTTCTTAAAGTATTTACATTCTTAAAACAGGAAGAAGAAATTAACCTATTAGAGATCTTGGATATGAGAAGCTATTGAAATTTTAAAGAAGATGTAGTGATGTAAAAGAGGAGAGATGCAACAGAAGTAATTTGTGATCTGGGAAAAAAGACCAAAGGATTTTCCCATAATACAACACAGAGAAATAAAAGGTTAGGAAATATAAAAGGAAGATAAGAGAAACAGAGGAGAGATCCAGAAGTCTCATCATCAGTCTTATAAGAGAACACAAAAGACAGAATAGAGAAAATGTAGGGAAGGTGATATCTGAATAAATCATGAAGTTGAGACTTCTAAAGAAAGACATTAGGTTCATTAAGCGGTTTCGTCCGACAGGTACATAAGACACAAAAGATTATGCTCTACAAGGCTGAAGCAGTAGTCAGGAGCTACATCATGAAGAATCTTGTATTTTAGGTAGGACTTACAAGAGAAAATTGTTGAAGTGAGATACAAATACTGGATGAAAATAAGGGTATCAGTGGGAACCCATAATTAAAAGAAATATATGGCTCCATTCATTGAAAGGGTCTTGAAGCAATGACACTTAAAGTTATGAGCACCCCTAAAGCCTGGATCTTGGTTTCTAAATATCATTGCTCACCAAATAGAACCCGGGCTTCCTGAAGAAATTGATTCCAGGGCTGGACCAGGCAGTATAAGGTCTACCTGGAACATCTTATGTCAGAAAATAAGGAAGCACTCAAATATTAATTGGAACTAGATTAAAATGACTTCCTTCATACAAATTTGGGGTAATATGAGCAACAGAAAGAATAATGAGAAGATTATAAAATATGGAGTTTAAAAAAACAAATCCATGAATCATAATGATTCTAAAGGATGTGGGAGCAGAGAGAAGGGAAAGCTCTATTTACAGAAGAATACCAACTAATAAGTGTAGGAGGAATGACAGAAAATCACTATTTTGCAATCACAATGATCCCAATTGAAGGAATTATGCAAAATAATGGGCTTAGATTCTTTATAAATGTCAATGTTATGAAAGATTAAAAAAAAGCTGAGGAACTGTTCTGGATTTAAAAAGACTAGACAGACATAACAATTAAATGCAATGGGTAGTCCTTAATGATTAAAAAAAAAAAAAAAGAAAGAAACAGCTTTGGAACAACTGGGAATGTGAATATGGATTATATTTAAAATAATAATATAATAGATAATAGTAAGTCACATTTCTTGAATGATGTTTGCATTATAGTTGATAGAATGGCCCTGTCTTAAATAATACATGCTGAATTAATTAGAATTGAAGAAATCCCATAATTTTATAATTTACTCCTAAATGAAAAAGACAGAGAGAGAATGTGTGTGTGTGTACGTGCGTGTGTGTGTGTGTGTGTGAGCGCGTGTGTGTACGTGCGTGTGTGTGTTTGTAATCTCTGGGATTCATTGTTCTCTTCTGGTCAATTTTCTTAGGTTTGAAATTTTACAAATAAAAGGAAAAAAGAAGAGCGTTTTTAAGGAATTTAAACGCAATGGCTATCATGATCTGACTTGTATTCTAGGATGTTTATTCTGAGATTTATATCAGAAAGAAGCAAGGCAAGAACAGAAGACCAGAGGTCAATTTACCATAAAACAGATGAATCCTTATCTTGTGGGTCCTTTCCAAAGCTCTGGGAGAAACCTAAGCAATAGATTCTTTAACATATTTGTTTGCTTTTGTAAAATTTGCAAAATAAGATATTCTAACTATGTCTGGTTAAGACCACTGGCTCTTTTCCATTCCAATTCCCTTCACCTTCCATCAGGCAGCTCTGGAGTAATGACAGGGATTTTTTGGGATGCTGCTAATGGGACTTGAAATTTAAGTTTAGTGAGATATTATTTGTGGTTTGCAGTCACTTCCTTGTACAGTTAAATGTTTGACAACTGTCTCGGTACACGAATAGCCTTCCGGAATGCTTCTGTCACCCAATGTGCAGACGTGTTTGGCGTCTTGAAGACAAAGATGCCAAGCTGAAAGAGGAACACAACACAAACTATAATGCCCAGCACTGAAAAGATGTGAATAGCAAAGAAATACGCTGGAAGAAAGACTCAGTCTCATCTTCTTCTCTACGGAGAAAAATAACAACAGCAGTTATCTTAGGAAGAAGTGGTCAAAGATTGCACAGTCAGCAAATATAAGGAAAATTAAAGAAAAGTCAAGCTGTTAAATAATAAAAATGTTTTTGCAATGTTTGTGGTATTTGACAGCTTTTTAGATTTGCAACTCATCATGCTTCCTTTTCTCATTCTAAATATTCCTGAGTATGTGTGTTGTAGTTTTTTTCCTGACAAGTACCTCTAAAGTTGTGTAAGTTTCAGGCCCTACAAAATCAGGAACTACCCTTTGAGGCCAAAAAGGCCACTATGACAGATAATTACATGACTAGGATCTGAAACCCAATGAAGAAAAAGAGAAAGCACTGAGTTTGAGGTTTATTTGAAATGTAAAATGAAAATGGCTCTTTAGTCAACCAGATATGGGAAATGGGAGGAAAATTGGGTTGGATGATTCTAGTTTGGGTGAATGGAAGGGTTTGACATCATTCACCAAGGCAGGGAATTCAGCAGAAAAAGGAAGATTCTGTGGAGATACTGGTTAGGAGAGAGACTAGAGGCAGAGAAACAGACTGGGTATTCATCAGTGTCTATAGAGGGAAAGGTAAAGCAACAGATTAACAGATTCAAGGTCAGCCTAAACAGCAAGAAGTGAGGCCAAAGGATGGAATCCTGGGCAACAACTAGGGCTGTGTTGGTTCAATATGTGTATGGAGCGGGGGTGGGATGTTGACCAGTAAGAAGACAGAGAATTAAAACAACCAAGAAAAAAAAGTAGCTTTTTTAAATGAAGGGAGAGATGTGTTTGAATAACTTCAAAGAATGAACTGTTATTAAAATATAAATCAAAGGGTAAATTAAATGTAAATGGATATCAAATTTGGTAATAAGCATATAACTGGTAACCCTGGGTGAGAACAAATGCAGTTTAATTGTGAAAGTCAGACTGGAGTGGACTGAAGAATAAATGGGGAGTCAGGAAGTGGACTCAGGAAGTGTGGATGACTTTCAAGAGGCTTGCAATAAAAAGAAACTTAGGGACATAGAAGGGATGTGGGGTCAAGGAAGGGTGAAGCCTGCTTTATTTGTGTCTTCTAATGCTAAACATACACCTACTCTACAACTATGACCCCAAATCCCATTCATGGGAAACAACTTAAGAATCAATAAAAGGAGAATGAATAAATAAATCACAGCACATTCACACAACTGAAAAATATACAGGAAAATAACAAACTATAGCTAAGTGCAACATGGATATATGTCAAGAATATTATGCTAACTGAAATTAGACACAAGATACTACATATGGAATAATTCCATTTGTATAAAGTTCTAGAATACGTAGAACTAATCTAGACTGTTAGAAGTCAGAATAGCAGTTATCTCCAGGGAGAGGTGGTATTAACTGCAAGGAAGCATGAGAGAGCCTTCCAAATGGAGGCAAATGTTCTCAGCCTTGACCTGTGAGGCAGCTGCATGGATGTATGTATATGTAGAAAGGCATTAAGCTGCACTCTGGGATTAGGGAAATTTACATCTTTTACTTTCCTATACCTCAATGAAAAGGAAAAAAGAATCGATGAATAAAATTTTAAAGATCGCATCACTGAGGAAATACCACTAAAAAGAACTATCAAAATACCACCAAATCAAAGTGAATTCCAGGTTGGCCCTAGGAGATCTGACAACGATTTGCGTAGTAGCAATGCTGGCACTGGGTGACCCAAAGGAATCCAGCGGCCTCGGAGTCAACACTCCTCTCTCTCAGGTGGTGTTGACACTGACAGTGTATTATACAGCTCACTCATTACCAGCTACCTACAAATCCTGCACCTAAGCCCAATTCCTTCTGCCGACACTCTATCCTTCCCACTGGACAGAGCTTTAGAATGTCAGAATCTTCCAGGACTCAACGCCAGCCTCATACTTCTCCTATATCAAAAGAACACAAGTACTGACTTCCTTCACTACTGAAGAACAATTTAGAACACAAATCTGTACCCATCAGAATCACAGCAGCAGTCAGTGACACTTTCCTTTGAGGTCTCACTATCATATCCTGCGATGAAGACATTAACAGCTGGCATTGAACGCAGTGATTTTATTCTTCCCAAAAGCCCCGTATTAATCATTAATAAACTTAGCACCATTTAAAATTAACATGGTACCTGCATTCTTATCATACAAAAAAATTAAATACTTACCATTTTGTCTGGTGCCAACAGCAGCAATGATTACAGGAACTGAATTTAAGGCCCTTTTAATGACTGGAATATAATTATCCTTTACTTCGTGGAATGAAAACTTGTCATTTACGTTGTATTTGATCACAATGATGTCGGCACTCCCAATAAGATTTCTAGAGGTATACCAATCACTGTCAAAAATGTCCTAAACCAAAATGCAAAGAGCTCTCTTTAGTCTACTGGTCTTCAAATCAATCATCAAGTGCAATGTAACACAATAAAATTTTTGCTACAATTTTCAGAATTCATAAAAAGAATTTATTTTTAAACAAGTAACTACCTAAAATTAAAAATGTTTGAAACCTACCAACTCTTCAATTTTTATGTATTCATTCAGGCTAGACAACAGTGTAGATGTACTGTAAAACAGATCTAGGAATCACAGTCTATCTGATGAAATAAGCAATCTCTTTCAACATTTGTAGTTTAAAATAGGCACTTTTGTTTCAAAATTATGCCATACTTTTATCACCAAAGAAGTGTAAAAATGTTAACACTATGGCATTAGATGCCAGAGCATCAGGATGAGTAAGGAAACTTCAAAGGATTTTCTGTGACCCAATTAGACACTGCAGGAGTGTTTAAGTGTTGAAAATGGCAATGCATTATGAATTCTGTGGAGTTCCATATATTTTATTCATATTTTCAAAATTTATAATATACTTTTCAACTTTATCCATCCTTTGGGCCATACTGTATATGTATAGTGTATGTGTGTACATAGTAGGGACGTATGTTTCATAAAAAGATACTACGTATCATACAGTGTAAACATGGTAAAGAATAGATTTTCAATTCCTGTATTTGGCTTATATAAACTAAAAATTCAGGATAAACCTTTCAATTTTTAAATTTTTACTTTTGGACTACAGTTAATAATACTTCTATATAGAATCAGGGCCAAAAGTAGTTTATTATGAACCCTTCTCCTTAAAAACTTTAATACTTTAAAAGTATCTTTCAAGTTTTTTATGGGAATAGTAGCATCAGAAAAATATGCTTATACATCTTAATACCACAGCTAAGTATGCATTAGTATCTTTTTTTCTCATATTCTAGTTAACTATTAATCATTATTTGTCCTTTCCTGTGGCCTTTGCTACGTATTTCCAGGATACAATATGGCTAGATTAAGAAAATAGTCAGATGTGGCTAACAGGTCCAAAAACTGTTGGGCTATGAAAGTTTGCACTTTAAAATATGAGCCCCAAGCAGGGTAATAATGCTGGAATCAATCCGTCACAATCCATGTGACAGACCTTTTATCCTATGATGGAAAATTCTGGAGAAGTGTTACACACCAATGCTCTTAACAGAGAGAGCTGCTTCTCACCAGTACCTCCACCATCCCCAGCAAAGCCTCTCCCAATTTCCTATACCCACCCCAACCTACCTTTTTCCTAAGAGTACTCTCAGAGTAATAGGAACTGCAAAATGTTTGGATATGAATAGCCTATTGAAAGTGGGAGCATTGAAAAAGGAAGATTAAAAAAAAAACCAACAAAGAAAACCAGGCAAACTATGGGGATATAAACACCAAAGGCAAAGTCTTAAACTTGAAAGAGGGTAGAAGAGGGGGGAGAAGGGAAGTGGGACACAGATCAAGAAAATGTGAAGGCTTCCCAGCAGAGCTCTACACTCATGCTCATTTCCAAATCCCAAACCACAAACTCATTCAGTTCCAAATGTATCTGTTATAGTATCCAAGTTCAAAGTAAACAAGCATAACAGGGTATATAAGTACAACAAAGAAAGAGAACAAAGTCAGATGAATGGTCTTAAAAAAATAACAACTAAAAATAAGTGGGATCAACATTAAACGACCATTTAACTCTGAGAGAACAAATCAAAAGTAACTGCTCTTTGCATTCCAAATAGTTGAAAATTCCAGCATTACTGGAGAAGTGTACTGGGGGAAAAGGAGACATTGAGAGGGAAATGTCAGGAGAAAATGGGTTTTGGCATCATTATCACGTTGTACTGAGGATATAAAGACTATAAATAATTATATCTTTAAAACATCAGAGTATCGAATCCTGCACAAGAGAAGTGTGCATGTATTACCTCACTGCTTTTTGTGGAATATTTCTGGTAAACAGGAAAAGATCTAGAAATAAAATAATGTAACTGCACAAAAAAAGAAGGGTGGGTTTGAGAGAGACATCCTAAATAATGAACTACATAAAATGAACCTGAAACATGTTAATTTAAAAGTGCCAAGTATATATACTGCAAGGATCCAGAGTACGGCCACAATCTACAGAAGAAACAAGAGAAGCACAAACTGTCTCATTCCAATTCCAAGGAAATAACACCACAATCCTAGTTAAACTGTGTGAAAGAGAAAATACTCCCCTAGTTTCTAGAAATATGAAGGAAATCAAATTCTCCCACCCCTTGTAAATCACTTCCAGGATTTCCTCTAGGAGGTTATGCAATGCAAAGCTTGGAGCCACCTTTGGAGAATGGAAATCATCTCTTTTTAAAATAATCTAAATTTTTATAGCAAAACAATTTTATTCTCCTTGACAGTGGGGCTGCAAAGTACTGCCTTGTACTTTCCACTTAGTGCTTCTAAGTACTAACACTACTGCCTCCGTGTACTACATTTGTGAGAATATTGAAAGATGTATAGGAAAACTTTTGCTTACTGTAAGGGAAACAGGGTTGTACTGAAGTTGTAATAAACACCTTACTATAGGAGCTACCACTTGCTGCCTACCTACTGCATGTCAGCTTCTATACTAAGAACTTTACATGTACTACTCATTTACTCTTCAGCACAGCTCTAGAAGGCAGGGACTTTTTAAATTTTATACACAAGAAAAATGAGGCTAAGAGAGGATAACTGACTTACCAAGGAAAATCACTAAGTAGCAATGTGGGGATCCGAAACCAGGCCCTTCTGCTGTCAAAATCCGCGCTCTATCTGCTCTGCTATATTGAATATTCAGTTTCGGTACATTAAGTATCAGCTGATAAATACAATCCACTTGAGTATATATGATGGACTTTCACTTACCACCAAGAAAAGCACCTTATAAACAGAAATTATAAATATATCCCCTTACGTTTGAAGATCATGATAACCCCAAAAAGTGTACCTGGTTATAAACTCAATGCTTTAAACAGGGCCAGAGTCTAAACAAACAAAAGGTTAATATTAGCATAATAAAATGCAACAATCAGTCTGTGGCAAAAATCTAGACTATAGAGGCTTATTTTAATCCATTCATTTCCTACGACACGTAAGATCACAAGTATTGTTTTTTAGCTAAATTATCAACATAAACAGGAAAGAGCTAACAGCTCAAAGAAAAAACAGGAAAAGTAATCCTAACATCCAAATTCAGCTTATTTTATTTTCCCTACATTTATTTACTCTACTCAGTCAATTTGTTCCACTGCCTGTAGTAAAACCAGTAAGTTTTTAGACTGTACTATCTTTCACAATGAAATGGCCAAAGTGAAAAAAAAAAAAAAGTGTTCTGTTTGCTTGCATAGATTCCAGCATTAAGTTCCTTATCAATGCTTCTTATGACTGGCATCGTCACTGTCATAAATGGGAGTTCAATACCACCCAGGTAATGGAAAAACCTGTTTTGCAATTATTTTAGTTCATTAACATAAATATCCTTTAACCGAAAATTTATTTGGGCTATAGTGATCTTTTCTTTCCATAATTTGCATAGGATATTTTCTTATGTATAATTCCATACATTTCTTTAGAAAATGTATTAGTTCCCCATAGCACCTAGTTTTTTAAGATTGCTATTTAAACATAAAATCTCACATAATGAGAATTTATATTTTCTTTTTCAGACACTCAGCTTTCTTCTGTTACAAAATACAATCATTAGCTTTAGTTATACTATTATAACTCCAATACCAGTAAAGAGTCAGAAATTTTCAAGATTAAATGAAAACATTAAGATTATTACTGTTATTGCGTACCCATTACATTATTGTGTACTGAAAATATTTACGTGTCAGAGAGTAGATTCCTTTCTCATTTATCAAACACTCAAGAATCAGATTAGAATTTTATTGACTTTATTACAATTTATTTTAATTATGCAAATTTTAAAGCTTTTTGAAAATTCCAAGCAGTATTATTATTTCTGATTTATGAGCCACTGAAAACAAATGGCTAATATATCAATAATACCTGCATTATTAGAATTAAAAACATGAATTAAAATTTTCAAAGGTGGATAGTAGTGCTTTAAAATTAATTCTCGGTCCCTGTCTCTTCCTTTCCTTTCCAGGGGTCCTATTTCTGAACAGCTTCAGTGAAATTTATTTTTGCTTGTGTGGAGCTTTCAGGGGACTTTATTTTTAGAACACTAATATTACACTATCACCCACAGGGCAGGCATGAAAAAACATTGCTCTCTGCCGGAGAAACTTAGTGACCCCGTCCCTTGGGTTGTCACATTCAGCTGCCAGGTACCAAGGGACAACCTACAGTCGTCAAGTGTTAAAGAGTAAGCGCTCCGACTTCCCACTGGGGCTTTTTGCCTTTCTGAGAGTGTTCTCTGACCGGGCTGCCCCCAGCCCTGTGAAACAAAGGAAAACGAAGATTTTCCCCAAGATGTTTTAAAACTCTACTCAGGTGACCCAGACGGTCACATCCACGAAAGGGGGAACAGGGAGAGGAGGAAAACAAATGAAAGAAAAGCTCCACCAGCCTCTGCACTGAGCAGCTGCCGCCCCTTACCCAGACGGGACAGTCGTGGACCACCAGCTTGACATTCCCAAACGCGCTGGCCTGATACTCGGTGAACACGGGACGTGCGACCGTGCTGCTGGCGTTCAGCAACAAGCTGCTTTCGTCCCCCGAGACCAGCGGGCTTCGCCCCAGGTAAGTGCGGATGAGCCCCGACGGCCGATTGTCCTGGTGAAACGCGTCCCCCTCGTTCCCGAGCGCCACGATGTGAATGGACCTACACGACAGAGACGGGGTGAGGGGGGAGGAGAGGCGCGTGGTCAGCGCGAGGATCTCTTTAATCAGAACAGGAAGTACGGGGGGCAGCGCGCTGCGAGGTGGAGCGAAACCCCCCGCGCTGGGGAGCAAGACGTGCGCCGGGGTAGAGACAGACAATGGCAGGACCGCGACGCGTACGTACATGATTTCAAATCCAAGGGCAGGGCGGCGACTCGGAGAAAAGCGGCTCCTCGCGGCCTCCCGGGGCCAGGCGGCGGCGTATTCCCCCGCAGTCAGCTCATCCCCGGCCGCGTCCCCCTCGCGCGCCTCCACCGCGGCGCGGCCGACGCAGAGCGGGCCCGCGCGAGCCGGCGAGCGAGCGGCCGGGGGCCCGGAGACGTGCGAGTCGGACCGTGTGCGCGCTGCCAGCCAGTCAGGAAGTGCCCGGGAACATCCCGAGCGGCCCGCCGCCGCCGCCGCCGCCCGGGCGCTGCAGCCCCCTCTGCCGCGCTCCCCGGGCCGGGCAGCTGTCGCCTCCTGCTGCCGCTGCTCCTCCTTCTGGCGGAGAGTGAGTTAGGAGGAAAGCCGGGGCCCCCGCCCCCTCGGCGGGCCTGGCGGGCGGGTGCAGCACGTGCTGGCCTTGGGGGTCGAGCGGACGCGGGGGGCGCGCTCCCCGCCGGGGCCCGGGGCCCGGGGCCCAGGCAGCGGCTGCCGGATACAAAGGAGCGGCCCTCGCCAGGGCCCCGCGGAATATAAATTAATAAATACAACGCCCAAGCCGGAGAGCTCCTGGTCGCCAATCCGCCTGCAGCAAGTTTGTTCAACTCGGAAGGCTGTAACCAGAGCCAGGGAAAGGGGGGTGGGGCGGTGAGGCCCCCGCTCCCTAAAGACTGGGGAAAAAAAGAGGCTAGGCAAAGCTAGGCATTCAAGCCCGCTGGCCGCTCTCGCAGCCCAATTTTTTTTCCCCTGTTGGCCTTGACCGAAAGTGTTTTACCACGTCTCCCGCTTTGTCATTTGTCAACATGAACTACAGATGTTTTCTAAAATCATACTTGTGAGAAAAAAATAAAGGCAACATTCATGCTGGGGCAGAAAGAGTTCTTTGTTCACACACCAATTAATTTGCTAATATCGCTTTTGAGGGATTATTTACAATTTCAAGCTATATTTGGCATAGTTTACCAAAAACCGCAGTTTTTTTTTTTTAAGTGCTGGGGTTCTTATTGTGATCATTTTAAGGAGAAGTTACTTGTGAGGTGTTTAACATGCTTAAAAGCTAAATGCTAGTTTACTTGGAGATTTTAAGTACACGTTATGGCTACATATTTAATAATAGCTCCTTAGGCCAACTGAAAAAAAATAACGATCATGCTAATAATGCAAGGATACTTCAGATTCCTTCATGATAACTCACTGAAGTAAAGGTTATGACTGTCTCTGAAGGACCTCAAACAATCTAATGCAAATGAACACCGGAGTCCACCAATACCAAGAAGAAGGGCCCGAGGTTACTGTGGGACTCAGCTTCTCCATAAACATGAAAAATCTCACAAGGGCTCTGTGTTGGCACAGTTCTTATTTATCCCTTTCCTTATTTATTCATTTTGCCCTACTTTAAAATTTCTTTTCTCAAGAGAGCTATTTTGAGGGTATGAGGTACTGAGGCAGGACTGAGGTACTGAGTAGGGCAGTGAAAAGACTACGATAAGAGGCCTTTGGAATGTGAACAGCTTTTGATTATGGGCCCTTGTTGCTCAGCTGGAAGCAGTATAAAATAGTTTCTCATGCTCATAGGGTATAGCAAAAGGCATTACTCATGTAGTCACTGATTTGTTTTTCAATTTTTTTAAATGTGTATTCATTTTAGAGAGAGAGAGAGACAGACAGAGGGACAGAATATGAGCAGGTGAGGGGCAGAGAGAGGGAGACAGAGAAGGTGAAGCAGGCTCCAGGCTCTGAGCTGTCAGCACACAGCCTGATGCAGGGCAGAAACTCACAGATGGAGAGATCATGATGGAGCCAAAGCCAGACACTTAACAGACTGAGCCACCCAGGAGCCCTATCACTGATTTTTTTTTTTTTAATCTAGTTTCCCTTGCCCTAAGTATAATTTCTCTTAGTCTCTAGAACCTAAACCATTCTGAAATATCTCAGAGTAGAAGATCACCTTTTCTTTTGGGTCAATAGAAAATATATTTTCTTGTCAATCCCCTCTAGTAACCACAGGTCAAAAACAAAGAGAAAAAAAATGTGGTATGTACCTGCAATGAAATATTATTTGGGATTAAAAAAGAAGGAAGTCCTGTCATATGTTACAACATGAATGAATCTCGAGTCCATTATGCTAAGTGAAATAAGCCAGTCACAGAAAGACAACTACTGCATTCTTCCATTTATATCAAGTATCTAAGGTAGTCAAATACTAAGAAACAGAAAGTAGAATGGTGGTTACCAGGGGCTGAGGGTAGGAGGAAACAAGAGACTTGTTCAACAAGGGGAGTTTCAGTTTTGCAAGATGAAAAAGCTAGAGATCTACAGCAAACAAGGTGCAAATAGTTATCACTGCCAGAATATATACTTAAAAATGGTGGAGATAGTACATTTCATGTTATATTTTCATGTTTTGCCACAATACAAAAAAGGGGGGGTGGGGATTGGGAAGTGGCAGTAAGAAACATGCATTTTCTCCTCCATTATTGAGTATGTGAGCCAGCTGTGGTAGGCAGCATGGGAGACACTAAGACAGACTCAGGTGTTACCCTTGTAAAACTAAATCTCTAATCAATAGTCACATATTGTGAATACTAATGCACCCAGTCATTTGAATACATTCTGGTTGCTTAAATAATTATAATACAAGCTTATGCATTCAGCAGCAGAGATAGGTACAAAGTACAAGGTTAAAGTTCAGTGAACGTTAAGAAGAGATCTGTGCCTGTGTGTCACCAGAGAGGAGTTTATAGAGGAAGTAAACTGTCTTCGGTGGTAACAGATGAGGAGGATTGCTAGATATGAAGAGGAGGGAGGAGGGAAAGGAAGTTATAGAAAGAATAGATAGACATCATATACAAATCACATGGAAAGGTGTAGAGACATGGAAGATCATGGCTTGTTTAGGAAACAGGAAACAGCAAGAGCTAAAATTAGTGCTGGTGTGTAGATTCCTTTATTACAGTAGGCATAAAAGAGCGTGGTAGAGGCTTCCCAAGAGATTTCAGAAGTCAGACCCAGGGATGCTTAATTATAAATTAGGAATCCCTCTGTATATATCAGAGAGCTCAGCTAGATGCTCACCAAACCCATCTTGTCTTCCAGCACCCATAGCCGAACTACATTTCCCAAAGCTTTTACATGTAGGTAGAGCCATGTGATTCATTCCAGGTAGTAGAATATAATCCCTGCTGAGCAGTCAAGAAAAGTGTGCCTTCTCCACTCTCTTTTATCCCTCTCTCTACTAACTGGATGAAGCCAGGGAAATGTTGAAGCCATGTGTTTGAATTTGTTGGTCTGCTGCATGGAGGACAATTGGGTTCCTGAATGACTGGTTAGAGCAGAGCTGCCTCACAGCATGCATTGTACTGAGACATGAGTGAGAAAATAGATCTTTATTGAGTTAAGCCAGACATTTTGGGGTCAATTATTATAGCAGCTAGTGATAATGATCTTGGCTAATACAAGATCACAGATGGTCAATTTCTTGATATCTTAAAGATTCTTTTCAAAATTATCTTAAGGCTACTTTTTATAATTATTTTCCTCTTATTTACAATTTTCATTTAGGTTATATATATATATAGTTTCCCTCAGTAGCATTTAATAAAAAATTTACTTTTACTGGATTAACAACATTTGATATAAAAAATTGGATTATCATTAGGGGTCTCAAGATCATGGGGAAGCAAGCACCTCCAACCCAAACAATGTTTCCCTATTTTTGCAGTGGAAATGCCACCATTTTATATTCATTCTAATAGACGTTCTTATCTCCAGATATAATGTATCACATAAGAGTGTTAAAGTATGTATGAGATAACTCAGTGAGCTATTACTGGTCCCTAGATCACGAATACTAATATACCTGCCTTTGAAAAATATGCTGATTCTTTAATGACTAGAGAGGAATCAAGAGTTACTAAGAGTAGGTCTGAAGAATTAGGCTTGGCATTAAGATTTTTCCAACTGTGTTTCAAGGAAACTAGTTTTCCATCTGAGGAGGTGGAGGAGTAAGATGCCTACTTACTGAGCACCACCTCCTCCCATCTCAAAGTTAATCAGAGCAGTGTTATTGCCATTTAATTTTATGTTTTATTTTTTTAAGTTTATTTATTTTGAGAGAGAAAGGGAGAGAATGCACCCACAGATCATGACCTGAGCCAAAACCAAAAGTCAGACGCTCAATCAACTTAGCCACCCAGGAGCCCCTAAAAAAATGTATTAGAGTTTCAAGTTTATTTTCAGTAAAAAGAAGGTATTTCTAACATTAAAAAGAACAAAAATTTAAGACTATCTAGAGCAAGGGTTTCTAAGGTGGGGTGCAGAAGATAAACCTGAACCTGAGATTTTGGAATAAAGTATTTGAACTTCTATGTACAAACACATATATTTTTTATCAAAATAGAGGGAAAGAAATCAAGCTTTACTAATACTGAATGTGAGGACTGGCACCTGCACCCCCACATGGTCCATAAGTGGACAGGCACCTGAGGTGCTTTAGGGAGAGGCTGGGAGCACAGCAGCACGTAATACAGAAGAGGCGGGCTCTCTCCATTGTTCCCTTTCAACATACAGCCACAGGTTGCAGTTTCTGTATATAACTAAGTGGATTTATGTAGGATATTTAAGTAAACTAACTGTTACAGCATGGGCCAATGGAGATAGTGTTAATAATGCAAGAATAAGCAACAAAAAGTTGGCTGAGTTGACATTTCTGATGTCCTTTAGAAGCCACATTGTGAAGTAAAAAATGAATGACTTAATCAGATCTGACAAGTTGGCCGTGATCATTGAAATAATAAAGAACATTTGTTTTAAGTAAGAATTTACATCTCCTTTTGCTAACTGACTTTACCCTGTGTTATCATTGTTAATAGATGATGATATTCTGAACTGATTACAATTAGCCAGCCACTTAACTTAAAAACTAGGCATTCAAACATAAAGGGAAAACTCAGCATCTCCAGCATATTTAGTAATGTACTTTTCAAGCCAATAGTTTAAAGAAAATTCATATATTATCAATGCTAAAAAGCCTCTTCTGAGCTTTCATAACAATGAAAGTCAAAAAGCAACATACAATAGGGAAAATAGTTTCCTTCTTGTCAAAATGAAAATGTCTGAAATTATACATGGACCAGGAATGGAAAAAAAAAACACTTCATTTCTTTGACAGCGAATACCTTGAGAATATGTGTATGAAACATTGTTAAAGACCCAAAGACACAAGTTTTGGAACAAGTTACACAATGTGGGAAGTTGACCATAAAGTTAAACTGAAAGCACAGATTTTTTTTTTTAAATATTTTTCTTTATTTCTAGGGG